AAAAATCTTCTTGATTATAATGGGTTTAGTAATCATGTCAAACTCAAAGAATTTGGACTTGACGGTTAATCAAATCCAAGAAAACATGGGTCTGGTGAACATGCCAGACCCAAAGAACTTGGACTTGGCCGTTAGCCAACTTTAAGGTAACGTGGATTTGAAAAAACATGTCATGCCTAAAGAACTTAGATATTACCAAATTTTAAGGCTGTATGCTTGATCCTAATCGATCCTCTATAATATAAGTAATAAATATCTGATATGCCGTTATGCCTCTCCATCTAGAACAATTATTCATATTAAGGTAATAATTTACTATATTTATAAGTGTATACAAGGTCTTTTAAGGAACCTATTATAGTAACTATCTCATTAATGATATGTAAAATATATTTACCTCCCATTAATATCGTAAAAAATAGAGGATTTTTCAATCTTTTCTTTCTCTGAAAACAACAAGGTTCAAGGGGTATAAATACTCCTTGAACTATCTAAGTAAAATGTTTATAACTTTTAATCTCTTAAGATGAAAGATATATTGATTTCAAAGCATTAACCAACTTAAAACTCAATAAAAAATATCTTTGTTCCTTGAATTTAAGGCTCTTTTAAAATATTTATTGCCTTAAGTCATTTTATACATTTCCCATAAATATAATAAATTTATTATCGGAGAGTTTTTAAGTCCTCGATTGGGACTTTTTTACAAGTATTCAAACTTCTATTATTAACATAGAGTTCCTTATATTAAGAAGAAAAAATCTAAACACTTGAATATATTGATTAATCACTATCCTAAACACTAAATAATCTTTTAATTGCTTATCTTAGATTTTAAAGATATCATCAATGGCGCATCTATGGGAAATACTTGTAAAAAATGATATATAACTTTATTGTTTAGCTCTTCTTTCTTTATTATCGTTATTGGCATGTAATCAAGACACTCCAGGAATATGATGAGTTATTAATCTTCCTTTCATAATAGATATTCCAGCCCCTACATAGTCAATCCTTCAACAACTTATGAAATAAATACACAAGCAATGTTAAGACATCAACAAGCGAAAGAAAATTCACCTTTAAGACTTTTAGCATCTCATTAGTAAGTTGTTGCATCTCTCCACTCACCTTCATGACAAAAGGACCTACTTAGTGTCCGTAGATAATTACACTATCCAGAAGAATGTGGATAAAATGATCTAGTAAAAGGTCTTCAACCTCAGATGTCATCAAGTCATTTCGAGGATCATGTACACCCTCATGACATTGTGAAGTTCCCTTGACAAACAATTAGAATTGGTTTTTCTAGGCATCCATCTAGGCAGCGTAAAAAAGAGACTGTCCATCTATCACATCGTCCCACACTAGAGACATCAAGTTACCCTGAGCCTAATAAGCGTAAGAATGGCAAACAGCTCAAAGAAAAATTCATCAATGAGAATTTTTACACTATTTATCAAATCTTTTAAAGATGTTTATTGACTAAGTTTAGCCACTAGCTTCAGTGACATCTATGCCAAATTGGTTGAATATTTCAGTACAATTATTCCAGCAAAAAAAAAAATTCACTAAACTATTTGGAATCACCCTAGTGAAAGATGAATCTATAAGGACATACCTCAAAAGATCAACAAGAAAATGCTTAAGGTTGAAGACTTAATTGAACTTGTAGCTTCAAAAACCTTTATTAGTGAGGTGAGGTATAAAACCTTATGGAGAGATTTATATGCTCTACCAGATAAAAGATTACTATAGGTGAAGCATACTATAAAAAGCTATATTCAAGTATAGAAGACAAGTATACTATGTCACGATCCTCCTCGTGTTACCAAGGGCAAACAACCAGAAAGGTCCCCCAAATGAGGTTGCTCATCCAAGTAAGATCACTTTCCCAGAAAAAATAACAATCTCAAAAATAATCAAAAGAAACTGCTTAGGGAACGTTTGGGTTATCCTGAAGCATATACTTCTCCATTAAACACCTCTCCCACTAAAGTTTTTGAAGTCATCCATGATAAAGAGTATCTCAAATATCCTTTGTCAATGAAGTATCCTCTTAGCACATGTATATCTAAAAAGTATTGCCTTTTCACCAAGACAAGGGACATGATAAAAAATGAATGTTATATCTTAAAGAAATAAATAGAAAGATTGATCAATAAATGTTATCTTCATCAGTTTTTAAAGAAGGATCTTCATCCTGAACAAAATAAAGAAGAACTTGGTAAATCCGATATGGCTTTACTTGAAATCAATGTCATCTTAGAAGGAACCTCTGCTAGGAGGGATTCTAATAATGAAAATAGGAAATATAATAAAAAAAAGTCATCATTGCTGCTAGATCGTTGGTTCAAAGGCACGTGCCAATAGTCTTCACTCCTGAAGACAGAGAAGAAGTGACTTTTCCATATAAGAACGCTCTTGTTATTTCCATTATTATATCTAATTATAGAATATATCAATTACTAATAGATAATGGTAATGCAATTAACATCCTCTTCGTAAAAGTTATGGTCCAAATATGAATCCCCTCTTTAAAATTATCATTGGTAAAAACTCTCTTAATTGGTATTGAGGGTCCAAGTGTAAACCCTTGGATAAAATAATATCATCTTAATTTAGTAAAGTAAAATAAAATATAAAGGATGTGGAAAAATGATTAAATTTTACAAATTAATTGGATTAAAATAGACGTTATTTAATGAGAAGGGTGAAATTAAAAACAATAATAAAGGAGTAAGGAGTTAGTAAAGAGAAAGAGAAGTACTGGGGTAAATGGATTAATATAAAGAATGGTGGGGTCAATGTGAAAATAAAAGTAAATATGAGGGGGCAAGATGCAAATAAAAAAATAACATGATTATAAATAACAAGAAATCTCTAGAAATTCCTAAAGTAATAGCTGGTCAAGGAGAGGAAGAAAAAGGTCAAAAAATAATCTCATTATTTACCTCAAAACAACTTTTAATAAGTTAAAAAATAGAAAATTAAACAAAAAAAAACTTAAAATACCATGTTATAAAAGGAAAAACCACCTTTAATGAACTTTGTTTTTTCAAAGACAACTAGCTTATTGACATAAATGTGGTCCTTTCGTTACTTGAATGTGATTGGTCAAACTATTTTTCTTTACTCTCCCTTCTTCGGTGATTTATTCTTCCATCTTTTAATATTCAGCGATTAAAACAAGAGGAAAATAACTTTGTAGGACCAAAATATAAAAAGCTAAAACTATAAGGACTAACAAAATAAAAACTAGAAAAAATTACTAATGAAATTCAACCTTTGAAAAAATTAGATTAATTAAGATTTTCTCATGAAACATAAAATAAAGTTTTTGGATGAAAATATAAATACCTAAAACTATAGAGACCAAAATAAAAAAATCAAAATATTACAAATCAATTGAACTTTCTTTTAAAATTGATGGATCAAATTGTAGACAAAGTTCATGATCAAAATAGATATTTCAATGAAAGAAAATGAATTAATTTTTTATGAAAAAAATATATTTTGTTAGAAGAATTATTATTTTTTATTTATGTATTTTTTAATGAAATATATTTTTTTATTAACAATATATTTTTTTAAACAAAAGATGGTGAAAACTAAATTAAAGGTTTGTTAAAATTCTCAATCAAGAAAAACATATCTTATCAATCTACAATTCATTTCTTGATTAGTGCATTTTTTTATTTCAATCAAAACAATTTTTTTTTTAAATTAGAAGCACTATTTTTTTAAATAAAAACTAATAATGACTCAAAAACAAAAATTTAATAAAAATATTAAAATAATATATCATTATTGTTTATTGGATTGAAGGGGAAAAATTAGATAATGAAGTAAAATCATGTTAAAAATGTATTAAAAATAAAATAAAAAAATTTATTTTTATTGAATATTCATGAACACATTTTTAATTTCTTTTGCATACAATAATTAGAATATAAATTGTTAAAATTCTTATAAAAAACTATAATATTATTTAAAAACCATGATAAAATTGAATAATAATTTAAATATCATATTTAGTATTTTATTTATAATGCATTGCAATTACAATCTAAAAAAGAGATTGACAAAGAAAAGACTAGATACCTAGGCTAAAATATTAGGCCCGCATGCTTGGCCTAACAAATAAAAAGCTTGATGTGTGAGGGTTTGCAAAGCCATAATCACGTCCTGATATATATATATATATATATGTATGAACTATGATAAAATTAAATAATAATTTAACAGAAAGAAGCTAGATGCTTGGGTTAAGAGATTAGACCCATATACTGGCCTAATCAATAAAAAAAATAAAAAAAAAAGCTTGATGTGCGTGGGCTCGCGCGTCTATCCCTATATATATATATATATAGACACACACAACGAGTTGACTAAACAGTAAGGTAAACATATGAAAGATGACTATAAAGTTGGGTTTTAAATTTTAATATCTAAAAATTTATTTTCAATGTATTTTCTCATGAAAATGACTGATAAACAACCTAAGATCTACAGAGAAAGGAGAGGAAGTGCATATGGTGGAAAAGTAAAAGATCATTTTATTTTAGATGTATTGTATAATTGTATAATAAATGCATATAAATAGAATAGTAAAAGACCGTTATGTTTTAGATGTATGGTGTAATAAGCATCGCTATACTGTAAAAGTAAACGCCAGCATGATAATTTTTTCTTTTTTTAAAAAAAATAAGATTTTGGAGTGTTTTTCTTATGGTTTGGATGATGCAAGAAATCGTTTAATTTTTATTTATTTTTTAAATCAAGAAGAAAGGCATTTGAAAAAACGCTTCGAAGACATTATTACCAAACAAACAACTATACATGACTTGTTGTGCTTGCCATTCATGTCGTGACTGCCTCCGCAGAAGAAGACAGTTTTTTGTGGTTTCGGAACGGCGAGCACGCATGTGCAATAAATGATCAATTTCCCACAGAACTTCATCATCTGAACTATTTATATGTTTCTGGGTTGAGCATTGTGCTGCCATGGCATCGAACAAAGAGAAACAACACAAAATTGACAACTGAGACTTTCAATTCCGTGAAATTACAACTTACATAGCCAAAAAGAATTATTTTTTACACTCCCCAGCCAAAGAAAAGAGAAAAGGGAAAAACAAAAGGAGGGTCTAAGAATTTCAAATGATCATAAATAAACCACATTTTATACCTTGTTTATACCACCACTGACCCATTGGGAAGACCCTTATCATGATCAAGAGGATACTAGAAACAATTAGGGTGAAGAAGCTGATGTATGGTTGCGACAGAACTGGAAGCTATTCTCATCCATTTTCTCTACCACAAAATGAGCAAGCATGTCATTAGACTCCACCAGGTTCTCTCTGCACAAGAACTCATCACCGTAAATTCTCTCCACATTTCTGTAGTAATCATGCACGAATATGTGAGTCTTAGCATTGCTAGCCTTCTTGCTCCTAGCTAGAACACCCGATGTGAAGATTGGTGTCATCCTCCCCGGCCCCTCTGGTCCATCCCCTCTTGGCCCGTCGATCAATATCACATCCCAGTCAACCTCGTAAACATGATTAGGCAAGTCATTAATCCCAAGCTTACACTCTGAGAAGAGTAAATTCTGCACTGGCCTGCATTCATTTTTTATTTGCTCCTTGGTGGAGGCAATAAGCTCTCTCATTTCTTTCATCTTGGTTGTGTATTGGACATCAAAGACATCAATTTCAGGATGCAACTCTTCATAATAAGCTGCGTAGTAGCGGTTTTCTTCGATGAAAACGGTGCGGCCATTGTGGTTAAGAGCTTTCCAAAGAGGTGTCTCGTGTGTTAGACCAAAAACAAGAAAATTACAAGGAGACGAACACTTTCTAAGCACATCAGATATTGGCTTGATTTCGGCATGGGACATATGGAAACTGTCATTGGATCTCGAGGCATAGTGGAGGAGAGTATTGATGACTGTTGTTGGCAATGGAGCATTATTGCCAAAGGTGGAGCTAGAAGCGGAGCCAGTGGCCATGGTGGTGGTGATGGTTTTTATAGGTAAAGTCTCTCTCGTGTAGATTAGTGTAAGAAGGAAAGCGATGGTGAAGAATGATACAAAGGCAAGGAGCCATAATCGATTGGAGCCTCCTTGTTTCTGGATGTAAGGATGAAGAAGGATCAGCTTTGTGTTGTTATTGTTATTGTTCTTCATTTTTTGAGTGAGAGGGAGAGAAAGAGAGAGAGAAGTGTAAGCGTGAAATCTCTGATCTGGCTGTGCTGTGGTGGTCAAGATCTTGAATCTTGATGGAAATGAGAAAAGAGATAATGATTTTAAAGATGGGGTTAGCTAGCTCAAGGCAGCAAATCAATGTTTGAAGCAACAGGAGATGGAGCTCAGCCAAGTACGAACAATGACATGTTAATCACACTTCAAATGAACCTAATGCTACCACTGAAGAGAAATAATGACCTCATATTTGGGAGCTGATACTTGCACTAATTTATTTTATTTAAAAAATGCAATTACGATTGGCCAAACGACTCCTCTTTTTTTTTTCTTTTTTTTTTTTAAGGTCATGGGGAAAAGAACAGGGAGATCCGTCCACATTTGATGTGCAACAGGAGCAAGATGCAAAGTGGTTGGGCTGGAGCTAGCCGGAGCTGGTGTGTCTCCAGCGACCCCATAACTAATTACAAGTCAGAAGTCGCTTTTCCTTCTTCATCTTAGTTTTAGTTCTCAAGCAACCTCTTATTATACCCTATCATTTCTTAAAATGGTAGTTACCTTATGAGAGAGACCATTTACCTGCAAAAGATTCCTGTCCAAAAGCAACCGTTGGATTATATATGCCACATCCCACCTCCTGTAGTTGCTGATTAGTTGAAGTAAATGTCTACACGGGAGACTTTTTTTTTTTTTTAATTAATATGGACATTTATATTAGTTTACATGTATTTTAATTAATTTTACAAGTTATAAAATTAATAATTATATAAATTTTTAGTAATTTTAAGATTTGTATAATTTTTTAAAAATAAATTTAAAACCTGGTGAGTTAGACCTTAATCAGTAACGAGAGAGTAGTGCAGCGGGAAGACAGAGGAGCTCCTTAAGTAGCCACGGTGTTTTACTGATCTTGCCTTGTGTTCAAAACCTTTGACATGAGACATCGTCTTCCTAGTTACCCGCCAGCCCATGTTATTCCAGCTTAAGGCTCAATTATATTGTTCTCCTTCTCAAAAATAAAAATAAAAAAGGACTAAAACAAACGGAATTCTCGGTTGGTAAGAGGCTAAACAATTACTTAAGAGATTCCAATATTTTTAATCTTAATGATTGGTATGGTGATTAAGGAAGTATGTTTTTTTTTTAGACAGCACTCAAAATAATTTATTAAGTTTTTTTTTAATATACTTAATTTACATGAGAGATGAATTTTTACTGTAATTTAAGAGTCTTTGAAAATATAATTATGATTACTTTTTAAAATATTTTTCATATTCAAACACATTAAAATAATATATTTTTTATTTTAAAAAAATTATTTTTAAAATTAGCATAACAAAACAATTTAAAACAAAAAAAATTAAATTTTAGCACAAAAAATTTGAATGTTTTCAAACGCTGCCTAAAAACTGTCTCAAGAGGATCCCTATCATCTTGAATATATATATATATATATATATATATATATATATATATATATATATTTGGTATATTTATTTTTTTATATTTAGTTGATTTATAACCTTTTTTTTTATCTTTATTCTCTTATTTCTTTTTTTTTTTTTGAGAAAAACTGTTATTTTATACTCTTACTCTTAGAATAATTGTTTGGGAAAATGTTTAAGAAAACGAGCATAAAAAGAAAAGGCAAAGAGGGCAAGTGTTTGTGACTTGTAAGTGCAATCGTAGGCTTGGAAAGACGGTGCAGTTGAGATCTGCTATGCAAAAAGACGCCATCTTTAAATTAGTTGTAAATCAGCCATTATTCTAATTGTCGTAGTTTCGGAAAATATTCATTTTATCACTATATTTTAAATTAGTTGAGGACTCTATCACTTTCAACAATTTTATATTCTTTTGATAAATAGAAAAAGAATAAGAAAAGAACTAGGTAAGATGGAAGTATTTTATCAGAAAATAATGCATTAATTTATTGAAACAACAAAACTAGTAAATTAAGCATGGTCAACACATGTGAAAAGACTATTTAGTTACCTTTTAAATTATATGGATTATATAATTTTTAAAAATAAACAATAATTAACTCATATTAGTATTCTCTCTTTCATACACAAACACACATATATTATTCTCTATATATATACATTTGATTGGTATGGATATCCTAAACAAATGATTAATGACTAAGTAAAAACCAACTTAAACCAATTTTTGAACTAGTTAAAATTTCTTGAACTGTTTATCTTGACTAATTATACTATAAAAATATTATTAATTATAAATTTTAAAAAATACTTTGGTTTGCTTTTTTTTTTTAAATCAATGTTTTTTTAATTTTATTTTTTAGTATTAGATTTTTTTCTATTTAGTTAACATATTCTGATGACATGAAATCTTTATTCTCTTTTTTTTTTTTTTGAGAAAAACTGTTATTTTATACTCTTACTCTTAGAATAATTGTTTGGGAAAATGTTTAAGAAAACGAGCATAAAAAGAAAAGGCAAAGAGGGCAAGTGTTTGTGACTTGTAAGTGCAATCGTAGGCTTGGAAAGACGGTGCAGTTGAGATCTGCTATGCAAAAAGACGCCATCTTTAAATTAGTTGTAAATCAGCCATTATTCTAATTGTCGTAGTTTCGGAAAATATTCATTTTATCACTATATTTTAAATTAGTTGAGGACTCAATCACTTTCAACAATTTTATATTCTTTTGATAAATAGAAAAAGAATAAGAAAAGAACTAGGTAAGATGGAAGTATTTTATCAGAAAATAATGCATTAATTTATTGAAACAACAAAACTAGTAAATTAAGCATGGTCAACACATGTGAAAAGACTATTTAGTTACCTTTTAAATTATATGGATTATATAATTTTTAAAAATAAACAATAATTAACTCATATTAGTATTCTCTCTTTCATATACAAACACACACATGTTATTCTCTATATAGACATCTTATTTGATTGGTATGGATATCCTAAACAAATGACTAATGACTAAGTAAAAACCAACTTGAACCAATTTTTGAACTAGTTAAAATTTTTTTAACTGTTTATCTTAACTAATTGTACTATAAAAATATTATTAACTATAAATTAAAAAAAAATACTTTGGTTTGCTTTTTTTTTAAATAAATGTTTTTTTAATTTTACTTTTTAGTATTAATTTTTTTTTTATTTAGTTAACATATTCTGATGACATGAATTTCAGGTTTGACGAGTTAATGTGATTGACTCAAATTTTTTTATTAGTTATTTTTTTAATTTTATTATTTAATATTAATTTGATTGAGAATTAAATTTTATAATTTGTTTTATTTACTTTTCATTAGGTTATTTTAGTTTTATAACCTAAGAATAATGTTTAACGGGTTAACTCAAGTTGACACGGGTTGTTTTTTTAATTTTTTAATTGACTTTTTATTTTATCTTTCACCATTGAATTTGTTAAAAATTAAACTTTATAATTTATTTTTTATGAAAATCTTAGTTTCATAATCAAGATCACAAGTTAATCTTAGTTTTATAATCAATATCACAAGTTTTAGAATTTTAAACCTATTTAAATCAAATTATTTTTTATTTTTTCTAAAAAATTATATCAGTCTCATAAAAATTTAAAACATATTTTAAAACAAATGACTAATTTTAGCTTCATGATATTTTTGTTTGGCCAGGATGACAACCTTTGATCAGTGCCATTGGTATCATTGAAACCTTTCATTGTTTTACCTCAGCTCTTTAGAAACATCTTTTTATGTGCGGATGGTCAATTCTATTTTTTTTATTTTAAAAAAAGCATTTTACAAATGGTTATCTTGACAAATTGTCCACTTAATATGTTCTTTCTTGCTTATTACAAATTTTAGCATATCCCTCCCTTTAATGCGATACAATGCCCTTATTAATATTGAAATTTGTTGTCATTCAACATTTACAAAGTATCCTTTCGAAGTATGTTAGTAAAGGTGTTGATAGATGTCGAATATCTACGCAAAAAGAAAACCGAGATGAAATTCAGACATATCTTAACTGTCAATTTATATGTCCCTATGAAGCTGTTTGGAGGCTCTTACAATTCCCTGTTCATTACAAAAACACAAGCTATTGATCGTCTTCAAGTTCATCTTCCACTTCATCAATATATTGTATTTCCAAGTCACCAGCCTCTGTCACCAGCTCTTAAAAGTCCTAGACTTGATAGAACAATGCTCACTAGATGGTTCCAAATGAATATTGATGATCCATCTACACATGATCTTTATTACTCACAGTTTCCTAATAGATACGTTTGGGATGTAAATACAAAAAACAAGGTCTCGAAGGAAAAAAAAAAGCTTCAATTTCATCTTGCTGCCGGGGAGCTATATTTTCTTAGAATGCTTTTGAACCGTGTTAAAAGGGCAACAAGGTTTAAAGACCTTAGAAAAGTTTCAGGAATTATCTATCCATCGTCTTAGATGATGATAAAGAATGGATTAATGCTTTTTATGAAGCCATTGCGACTGCTACATCCCTATAAATAAGATAATTTTTTGTCAGTATCATCCTTTTATATCAAATTGATGATCCAATGTCTTTGTTCTCCCAATTTTAGCATTCAATGCATGATGACATTATTATTTATATTTTTTTAGATTAACGTGGGTGTCCGGGCTAGTTTGCGCGCATCACGACTAATCTCACGGGCCCTGAAGTTAACGACCATGTAAGCCTCCAGTGGCCATCATATGAGCAACCAAAGACTCGAACCTGAGACCACAGAGAGAGCAAACTCCTTGATCCCAAGTCCTTACCACTTGACCACATCTAGATAGTTCATTATTATCTATATTAGATCTTCCTTGTGAATGCCAAATTTTCGATTATCTGATGATGAACTTTGGAATTATGTCCTATATAACCTTGAACAACTTTTTAATGTTGTTGCCTCAACTCTTGAAGATCATAAATTGCTGTTTTATTAAGGGTTATACCTAAGAAAGGGCTCAAAATAGTTTCAGATGATCATGATGAGAATCTTATTATATTTGCAAATAACAATATTGTTTACAAAGAAGATGTTATTGATGTCTAGGTTAAGAGTTGATCTTCTCACTAGTACGTTAGTTAATTTCAGCAATTATTATTTCGTGGACACCTCTCAGTAATTGATGCTTTCTAACATCATAATCCAACTCTACTTTTAAACCTAAAACTTCAATTGTCATTTTCTTTTATATTATCATTGTTAGCTTCCTTATAAAGATTAGTCTTCCATTTATATATATATATATGCCCTGCAAGTCTTCCCGGTTAGCTTTCTAATAATTGTTTTTGAATGTTACTTTAGCAGATCTTACGGTGATCCGCA